AACTTGCAATTTCTCAAATTTACGCTGGTGCACATGTTTGTCGAATGTTAGCAATTATCCCTGATATTTAAAATATCTAGTAGATCTGCTGCGATCCTGTTTGGCTTCAAAGATCCTAAAGACTTTCCTAACACCAATACTAATTTTAATTTTACTTGCTGACCTTTTTAATTTTTTTCTATTCATTCATTATTTTTTTATATTGTCATTGTTTTTTTCAGTCTCGTAACCTCGGTCTTGACAACAACAAGTAAACAAAAAACAATTGCATAAAGACTGACACTTTTCAATTTGTTAAAAAAATATTATGACATGTTTAATATTTTTGGTACATTTCTTGATTTTAATGACTTTGTTTTTGTTATTGTCATTCAGACCAAGAAGATACCGAATTTATTGTTCCTCAAGATGAGTTTCTCAGCAAGAAACTCACAAATAAGCTTCTTCAACAGATTCAGGTATGTAAGTGCTATTCAAAAATAATTGCTACTATACATTGCATTATGCATAGGCTTGCTACAAGTTTGTATGAACTTCATTTTTGCTTACGTCACCAATTACCATATCATCTGTACGTCTAACTGCAGTTATAACATTAAGAGAGGTGCAATGAACATTATTGCAAAGATGTAGTACCAACTACCAAGGAGTTTTACTAGTAAAACATCTGCGTAATCAATATTAAATTTTGTCCATTGTCTGCACTTTTAATTAACATATTCTTTATGTGCCATGTCCAATTCATGGGGTAATAATAACTTGTATATTTTCACTAGCTTCACTTATGCATGATTGCACTATTAGTCCATGTTCACAATACGGTTCTGCTTATCCGTCGTATACACACACTCATCCTATTTTTACATACAAAACCCTTTTAAAATAGAGCTACGTTTGTGTCTAGGATTCAGTTAGCCTAGCCCTGTTTGGCCTGTAAGTTTCATATTTATGATGTTTAGAGGCAAGAGGTTCTTAAGGCTTGGTTCCATCATGTATTATGTAACTCTAGCTTGCTCATCAGTTCATTTTTATTAATATTTTTCTTATAATATTGAAGCGAGCTGTCCAGGTCTGTCTGATAGTGTTGCCATGTTTGAATAGTTGTGTAGAAATACTGAGTTGTTGTTTTTTATCCTGGAACTCTAAATGCTTTCGTTAAAATAGTTTTATATTTGCTGTAGTTTGTTGATGTGGTTTTGATACATTTATCTGTTATACAGACATATTCTACGATAGTCTTATGTATTTTCTGTAAGTTTTTAATGTTTTCTGGTAAAGCTTCTTGGTAACTCATATGGTAACTCACTTTTTTCCAAATTCTGGTTTTTAAGCTATTAACCGTATCTACCAACGCTGGTTGAAGGCCATGTCATCGCGTTTGTTGACTAACATTCAAAATTTTATTCAACTACTATTTAATGAATTTATGTCAGTAAGTTTGGTATCAAATTGTAGATTATAATTCAAATTTTAGAATTATACATTAGTTATTTTTTTATTTTAAAGGTAAGTATTAAAAAACACCTCTAAATATTGATTTTTGTGTGTTGTGTGGTATGTTGAATGCAGCTTTGGTTCAGATTAGATGTTTGTGATGTTCAAATACAAAGTCTGTAGGTTATTACGAATTAGTAACTCAAATTACTGATATTGACAAGCTAGAATATAAATAAGACCTCCTATCTTTTCTGTTTGCTGAGATATCACTACATTTACTGACTCAAACACTGTGGCCACACCCACTTTTTTCCAATTTGGGAAACACTTGCTTATGTACACTTACTTCTGTCTGTGATGTGTAAATAACCAATCAAAAGCCCAGAATGTCTCCCTAGTGGTTTTCTCAGCCTCTGCAAAGTATTTGGATGGCAAACTTGTTCTTTTCATACTAGATTCTAAGCAGTAAAGTAAGACTTTATTGAGCTCAAAATTTCATATTTTTTAGACCCAGATACCACTTGATAAATTATAGTGGAACTTTTTACTATTGATATTGTAATTTATAATTTTAGGTTATTTCAAAATGTATATATAAAACCTAAAAGAATTGTTTCCTTTCACATCCTCCACATGCATAATTTTATAAGGCTTAGCAGCTTACAGCAAACAAATGCAAAGTTTGTAACTAGAAGAGATAATTGTTTGCTATACCTTTTTATTTACTGTTCTGTGTTTTAAGAAAAATTTTTGAAATTTAAAAACTTGTTTGTAAATAGAACTAATGTATATACATATATAATGTGTTATAACTAAAATATGACTGTATTATACAAAATACTAGTCCACTAAAACACAGCCAAGACAGGTCACTTTGTAAAGGCCAGTTTTATATTCTTGGGTACCATAACACAAGTGTACATGTGCCATGTCATTGTAACTTTTGTAATGTTAGCCTAGATGTTGAAATAGCATTCGATAAAGTGTGGCATAATGAACTCAGATACTAACTATCCAAATTGGGACTTCCCATAGAAATTATTTGCTGGGATTCTAACTTCCTGGAAGATAGGAGCATCAGAGTATATTTTGAGGGCACCTACTCCGAGTGCTACACTCCGGAGGCAGGTGTCCCTCAAGGAGGAGTACTTAGCCCTTCCCTGTTTATCATGTATGTCAGCGACATGCCTCTCAAAGACTGAGACCACACAGTTTGCAGATGGTGTTGTGATCTGGAAGAGTGTCCCAAACCCAACAACAGCAACATACAATATACAACCATTGCTAAACAAAATAGAATTGTAATGCAATAAATGGAGAATTAAATTAATGCACAGAAAACACAAGTCATATTATTTACAAAACCATACACAACAAGCAAAATAATACCAAAGTTACATCTAGATGGGACTCTTTTAAGGTAGAAACATCAGCAAAATTCTTAGGAATTACATTTGACTCAAAATTAAACTGGATACCACTCATTAACTCTTTCAGCACGGGCTTGGTCCCATGGACTGACCTCATAACCATTTTGTGCTTGTAGTTTTTAAGTGAATGTTAACAAAATTTAGCAGTTTATCAGTAAACATTACAATGCTTTTGTATGCAAAATATAATTTTTGTATTAAGTTTTAAGATTTTTTAAGTAATGTTTTTCTCGTGCATTTTTGCTTTTCGAACGTTGACTATCGAATATGCAAAGTAATTTTGATTTTAAGATTAAAAATACTTTTATGCATTAGAAATCGTTATAACCTCCAGACAATTATCAAACATTTTTTAAGAAAAAAAATCTTATATTTTATCTTTTGTTTTCACAATCGAATCTGTACAGGTTTGGTATCTTCACAACATTTGGTACACTTTTAGTAAACATTACAAGTCTTTTGTACACAAAAAAATCAGATTTTTTTAATGAAATATTTTTGCTAAAGATTTGTTTGTTGATATATCGAGTCTGTTTCATTACTAGTCCGAATGCAAAGTGATTTTCATGTTATGATTAAATAAAGTATTCTTCATCCCAAAAATCTCAGTTATCATTAGTGTAATTTTCTACAACCTCCTAAATACATTTCAAATGTTTGTTTTCAGTAGAACTTTATATTTTATCTGTTATTTTCTCTATCCTAACTCTATACGGGGTCTGTCAATTTGATCTCATAGCCACCACCAAAAATGAGGAAATACATACAAGTTATGCTCTTTTTTTTTTGTTCTAGAATGGTTTCAGATTATAACACAAAAACACATTTAGTCTAAATAGCTTAAATCTCATAACATTATACATTTGTATATATTTATTATATTGCCATTTTCAGTCATGCCTGGCTAACATTACATAAGTTACAATGATGCGGCACATGTACACTTGTGTTACGGTACCAAAGAATATAAAACTAGTATTTTGTAAAATACAGTCACATTTCAGTTATAATACATTATATGTGTATATACATTATTACTATTTACAAATAGGTTTTTATATTTCAGTTATTTTTCTTAAAATATAGAACAGTAAATAAAGAATTATAGCAAACAATTATATCTTCTAATTACAAACATTGTACTCAATTGCTGCTTGCCTTAGGGAGCTAAGCCTTATCAAATTTCACACATGGAGGATGTGAAAGGAAATAATTTTTTTAGGTTTTATATATACATTTTGGAATAACCAAAAATTATAATTTCCTATATCAGTACCATAGAATTCCACTATAATATAGCAAGCGTAGTAACTAAGCTATATTTGGGTCTAAAAAAATATGAAATTTGAAGTTCACTAAATTTTGACCTTACCAGTTGGAATCTTGTATAAAGAAAAAAAGAGTTCTGTATCCTTATATTTGAAAAAGGCTGAGAAAGCCAATAGGGGAACATTCTGAGCAGAAGTAGGTGTACGTAAGCAAGTGTTTCCAAAAATGGAAAGGTGGGCGTGGCCACTGTGTTGAAGATAGTAAACGTAGCAATATCTCAGCAAATAAAAAAAATAGAATATAAAATAAGAAACTCCTATCTTGTCAATATAGGGGATTTGAGATCCTAATTCGTAAGAAACTATAGACTTTGTATTTGGCTATCACCAAAATTGATATTTAGTGTGTGTTTTTTTTTATATTTACTTTTAAATAAAGAAATTAACTGATGTATTATACTAAAATTTGAATTATAATCTTCAGTTTAATAACAAACTTACTGAATAAATTCATAAAATAGTAGTTGAATAAAATTTTGAATGTCATTCAACAAACATGATGACATGGCCTTTGACCCATGACCTATATTGGTAGGGTTAACCATGGCCTAAATAACATCTGAAAACACTTGTATTTGTATTAAGATTTTTTTTTTTTTCCAGTACTTTGGATGTATCAGTGTTTTTATTAAACTACAAAACTAATGTGAAGCCATCTTTATGATATTCCATATTGCTAAAAACAAATGTTAGTAGTTTGGGAATGAAATGTACTAATTGTTTCCTGACAAGAATATTACTGACAAATATATGTTTAGAAAATCTAACACAACAAATGGTTTTTGCATCATTCTTGTTGAAAAAGATCGAGGATGGCAAGGATCTTCCCCTGGTGGCCAAATGAGAGGCAATCGCTCTCCTGGATATGTAGGAAGAGGTTTTTCTCCCAGGAGTAAGTATTATCATTTTGTTTGTAGCTTCGTTTAAATTTTGCTTAGATATTAAGTTCATGCTAAGTGGATATAGTTCTGTGAAACAAAAGCTACAGTTGTGTGGGTGCTATTAACAGTAATTACTTTCGACACATAGACACTCCTGATATCATGGATGTATAAAAGTTGCAACTTTGCTGTGTGTGACTTAAGATATGATAGGATTCTAAGTAATACAGATATTAAAGAAATGTACCAGTTGTATTTTATTTTGTAGGAAATTTGTTTAAAATTGTCTAATATTGCATTGTGAATTCTGTATAAATGTAATGAAGACAGTCTTGTAAGTTTGATTCAGTGTTTGTGTTATAGCACACACACAAAAAAAAAATAGAACAGTATGAAAAAAATACATAAATTGTTGAATTACATGTAATAGAAGATTGACAAGTGTATCATTTGTGTTAACTTCAGCAAAATTTTTATTAACATATTTAATCTTTTTTTTTTAAATGATACATGGTAGGAAAATACTTTTATTGATATTTTAAACAGAAAAATTACACAAACATTTTAGCTACGGTGTGCTATATCAGATCATATGAAAACAGTGACTTCATTTCCCCTCATTCATAGTTTTATTTTAACTTTCTTTGTGTATCGAAATGGTTATGTTATACTTAATTTATTTAGGTGTAAATTAGCTACGTCATTGTTTTCCAGAACTCAAGCTGTGGTGTATAAAAATGACTGAAAATGTATATAAACATTTATAATAAAAAAAATAAAATCTAGTGTCATCTAAATTAGTGTATCATTAGGCTTTATTATATATATATAATAAAATACATTATAATAAAGGAAAAAAATTTGGGAACATAAGTGCAAGCACAACCATATACATGCATCTTTCATGTATATTTCAAAACAAAAATATATTTCACACTTATTGTGTTAATTGACATGATATGCAAGTATAAAAACAGTTTATAGGAAGTTATTTATGTCCATATGAGTATATTTCTTTTCCCTTGTCTTATTGTTTACCATTAAACTTTCCATCAACCATCCCTAGAATTTGCAAAACACGTTCTACTACTCTGTTCTTTCTAGTTTGTCCTTTTTGTAAGTTTTATCACAGAAACTAGGAACAGCAGGAATTCAACAATTTTTTAACCATATTTAATGTATTTATTTGATTATTGGAATCATAAGGGAAAAAAGTTATAAAAGGTAAATACTATGGAATGCCACCCTTTATGTGAAAATGAACACCAGAGTACAGTCAAATGTTAATTTATAACAGTGTGGTTGGTTGTCATCCAGCTAATCAGAAATAGTAATTTGAATACAGTCATAGCTCCCAGGACTGAAATATCTTGTGAGAAGTACAGTAAAAATCAAAGGTTTGACCGATTGATGATACTCCATGTGCACAAAATTATCACTATTAAAAATAGACATGATTGATTAAGGTAGGAAACTAAACTCTCCAAAATAGATGCTAAGTATCTCAAGGTAATTTTTTTACAAGATAGATGACAATTGAATATAGGTCTTGCCAACGACCTTGCTGCAAATACAGGTGTGAAGGTTACCTTGAAAACAGTAAGATACACATTAGTATAAAGTTGTCTCAGTGGATGTGTAGATGACCAATGAAATGAGCATTGGACAATAAACAGTAGAATAAACAAAATTGGAGATGTAAGTTGGAGTGCATCTCTGTCAATGATGTACACAAAACTGATGGTGCCCTAGCTGTTGACAAATACTTTCAGATTCTGTTCAGTCATGCCATTCCTTTTGGCACACAACTAAGTGAGCCAGGATTTATTCTGTATCTTAACAATAAATAGGCCAAAGGACTTAATTGTGATTTGGTGAGCTTAAGGTCCTAATATGAACATTTGTATGCTGTATTGACTTATAAAAATTGAGAAAGTCAAAGAGAACCAAAAATCTTGGCTGAATTGAGAGGTACATTACAGGACTTTGGAACAGTATTTCATTATTATACATGTGTAAACTTAGCAGCGAAAAATGTTTAATTCTCAGTGTAAAACAGAGGACTTGTATACAAAATACTAGAGAATTGTAAAACATATTTGCTTGTTTTTGTATCTTTACAAATTCACTGTCCAATTGCCATTACTCATTGTTTGTGATTTGTATTTGTGTGTGTTACTATAGTACTGTGTATCACGTGTTACTTTTAATTTGAAACACTGTTGAGAAGAGGGGTGTGTTTTGCACAGGCTTATTGTCAAAGAATATCACTTACTAGGACGAGAATGCAAAGATTTGTGTAATTCCAGTTGACTGAGAATTTAGTGAATAAATTTTATATAAAATATAGTATATAGGTATGTATTAATTTGTATTTGAAAAGATAATTACATATAAAGAATATTTGTTACAAAATATTAAGGTGGTAGCCCAATACCCCGGGGCCCTCCAAGGAATATTACACCCAGCAGAGGAACGCCTCCACCTCGTGTGTCTTATCGAGGGTCATCTAATTACAGAAGTGGATCATATGGTCGAGGTGGGTCAACGCCACCTGCCAGACATTACTCTCAGGTATTTTTAATTATATGACATTTATTTAATAATAAGAATAAAATCATTATAAGAATATGCATATATGTTGTTACTGAGGCTGTATAGCTCTAGGCATGTTATAACAGTAAAACAAAAATGAAATTTAAAGTAGTCCAATACATATACTTCAAATAAACAGGAAAAAACTTCTTGAATCAAAAATCAGCTCTTAATTTTTTTTTATGTATGATGACTACACAATTGCATTCTAACTTGAAATTTGTATCCTTTTTTTTATATATATAGTCACTTGACAATATTAAGTTTTCAAAATTTCTTTCTAATCTTACCCCCCCTCAAGTCACCCACTAAATGAAAGTAACTGAAATGTTCAGGTCTAAAATTTTGCTTTTTCAAGGAATTTTCTTATGGATAAAATAATATAGTAAAATCTAAACTGTTAACTGAAGTTATTTTTTCCACTAATTTTATGTTGGGAATAGAAGCATTTAAAGTTTCTATTTGGTTAGATAGAATCTGTAATCATACATAAAATAGATGGAAATATTTGATTTTTGTACATATTTGTTGATTATTTCTTTATCAGAGAGTTTGAAAACTGATTTTTTTTAACTCTGTGTTTTCAAAAATCTGAAATTTTACTAACTGCACTTTTTGTTGTACAATATGTAAACTTGTAAAGCTAACAATGTCATAAATATATAGTGACTGAAAATTGAGATTTTCATATTCTGTTTTCCTCAGAGCCCAATTTCTTCCTCTTATAGATAATAAATTTTTAAGCTTTTAGCTAGTTCAGTGAGAAGCTTTTCATGAGCATATGCCTTCAAGTAATTAAATTATGTCATGGTTTTGTTTTGTATGTCACACAAAAGTAACAGATTAATTTTATTATTTCCCCTACTTATTTCTTTTGTTGAAGTAATTACTTTTGTATTTGCACCTTGCTTTAAAAAAATTTGTGCTAATAATTTAAAGCTTATGGAGACCATAAATAATTTTTAAACTGAGTACAAGGTAAATTTTGTAATTAGAATATAGTAACATGAAATCGATTTATATTAGTTTTTTTTCCATATGTATTGCATATTTTATTGAATAATTTCATTCAGTAAAGTGAGTTGAAGTATGTGAAACCTAATGTATTATGTAACTCTACAAATTATACCATATTGTATTTCATTATAAATCATACATTTTTCAACAACACAAAATCAAATTTAGATTCAAAACAGTCAGTGATTTTCATGTTTTATTTTTGAAGTGTCTCAGTCTAAGGTGTGATGTATAAAGGTCATTCAGTTTCAAAAATAAAAAATGAGTAAGTGGCAAAATAATGCCACTTGGGTGAAAGGGGTTAAAAATGCTTCCAAAAAACAATATATTCAATGAAATATCAGGCATAAAAAATTATGCCTCATTTTGTATGAAAATTAATGGGGTGGGGGGGAGTAGTAGGATTGATTTTGTATTATTTCATTACAGTGGCTTTGCATTGTCTTAGTTTTTATATTACTAATTCCAATTATTAATTTATTGTTTTGAGCAGTGTAGATATATTTAGCATACTGATATTAGGCTTACCAAGTAGATGTGTAGCAGGCTAATCTATAAGGATGATAATGTCACCATCAGTAGTAAGTCGTGGTGGAGAGTTTCAACTTTAATTTTATTAGTTGTGGGTGTTTTTAAAAATAAAAAGAATCAATGTTATGTAGAGTCAGCTGATGATTCCATAAATAAAAGGTACTATCTGATAAATCTTAAACTATTTGATATTTTAAACTTAACTCCTGTCAAAGCCGATAGATGTAACTTTCCTTGGAACAACCTGGTAACCGTGAAACTGTACATACTATAACTCTGCGTGCATTAAGTATTTCTTCACGAAATTTGGCTCTTTTAATAAACATTACAACTCTATTGTACAGAAAAAAATCACATTTTAAAGAAAGTATTTTTACTAAATATTTTTCTTTGTATTTATCAAAGCATTTACCAAGTCAATCTGTTAAATGGGATTTTCATGCCAAGAATGGTTTTATCTTACAGTTTTAATATTTCAAATGCATAACATCTAGAACCTACTAAATTAATATAAAAGTTATTTTTGGTAAAACCTTATATTTCATCTCTTATTTTCATTACCATAACACGTAAAGGTAGGAAAATCATCAATGTATAGGGATATGAAAAGTATGAAATAAAATGAATAACATGGGTTTGTTTTCATAGGTTGAATGCATATTGTAACAGATATTTAACCTAATGGTTTCACTTCTAACCTTTTTAAATATGCTTTTTAATTTTGTTTTTATTTTTTTACTTTTTGACCCACTACTGTATGTGAAAAGCAATAAATCACATGGGAGCTTATTTAGATGTTTCCAGTAGATCTTATGCTAAACAAATGATCAGGTTACAGTTACATAATGTTAGCGTGTCTTCCATATCAACTAGACCTGTGAAATGGCCATAGCCAGTGCTATGGGGACCTTCTAAATCAAACTTGTAAAATGAAAAAAATAAGGCAAATGTTTATTTAAAAAATAAAATCAGAAGATAGTGGACCTTTTAGATTTTTCAAAATATTGGGGTGGTTGTTCCACTACACATCTGATCAGAAATTTTATACATGTTATTGAGTTTTGTTACCTAACCTAAGAAATTTTTAATTTTTACATTTTACTTAATTCTGTTAAAAAATATGTAACAATAATGAATTATGTAAAAAAACTATGTTAAGTACACAAAATTGAGTCAGTTTTTGCACTGGAGAAGGTATTCTTGGTAAGCTCATTGAATCTGTCAAATTTGGGCGTCCAAAAAGAATTCACTTAGCTTTCAAATGTGCACTTTAGAATACAAAATTATGTCTGTCATTAGAATAGAATATTTCTCAACTACTATAATTTATTTAGCTGTTGAAGAAATTGGTTAAATAAATATTCTGTTAAGTGCTTGGATTGAGCAGTAATGATTACAGGCAAAAAAAATCGTAAGAAACAACTGTAATAAGGTTTATCTAGAGAAGGCAAAAAGTTCTATTGGTTAGAAACATGCCCATCAGCCAAGTAGAGATGATATATTTAAAACTGTCTTGAAAGATTGAGTTTGACCGATTTATTGATATTTCAGCAAAGCTAGAGGATATGATGTTCAAATTTTTAATTCTTGCTTCTAATTATATATAATTTGTGTTTCAAATTGATTGAATGCTCTGAAAGTTATATTATTAAACATATATAATTTTAAAGGAGAATTCAGACCACAAATACATCATGTGACCTGGAGAAGTGAAGATTGAGATTTATTTATCTATTTTCTTTTGAAATTAAGAAATTAAAACTCATATTTTGAATTCTAAACTATGTTTGATACCTTGTCTGTTGCATACATTGACGATAAAGTTGTTTAATTAGACATTGAACGTAACTGTAAAATGTTTGACATTTGCATTTTAATCCTTCCGCGTGGAAAGAGCCAACTAAAATAAAATGCAATTACTGATAAACAAAGTGTTTTTACAAAATAATCTTAGTTAACCCTAAGTAAAATTCTACCATAGATTTACACTTTGTCAATGTTTTATATTTTTAACTCTTGCTACAAAACATATAAAAAAAAGTTAGTCTAGAAACTAAAGTTCGGTTTGGGGACATGAACTCAGTTGAATCGACTGAGCCAATATTGAGAGTTAAAGAAGTGATGAAATCACAAACTTTTTAACTTCAAATCTCCAAAAATACTACAAAGTCTTAAAATACAAATATGCAGAAGTTATACAAAACTTTTTTAATTTTTCAGTCAAGCCAAAGCAGCAGCAATTATGGATCTAACAATCATTATGGTCAGCATTACAACTACAACCAGACAAGGTGGGGAGGCTCTTCACAAGGTATGTTCTCCAAAAGCATCACTACACTAAGATTATTTTGTGTGAGACCACATATAATAGTAATAACCATTGGGAGTTAAAGAAATGCAAGGAACTTTTAGGTCATGTTTTGAAAAGTTAAGTGAAAATTAAAATTTAGTTTTCTTATGTCTAAATCCAGATTCTGTGTCCTCATTATAATATATGAATTAAATTATTTTAGTTAAACTCCGAACTTAGCTGTTGTTTATTTTCCCAAAATGTGCAGGAGGTAGTAATCAAAGCTATAGCCAAGGGTATAGTCAAACTCCTCAATACAGCCAGACATCACAATATAACCCGTACCAAACTCAGCAACCTCAACAGAATCAGTCGTTGAACCAGCAGTGGAGTCAGTATTACCAGCAAAACCCTTCATCATACCAGCAGTACTACAATCAATATTATGGTCAGCAGCCATCATATGGTAGTTATGGAAGTTATGGACAGTCTCAGGGCCAACAGCGAAGATAAATATTCTTTTTTGTACACTTCATCCATCTTTAAATGTCCACACATGGAGTTAGTTTTATCTGGTAGACCTGGATCATACACATTATTAATCATCCTTTTTATTGTATTGTGTGTTTATCTACAAATATTTCATTCAGATCATTCTTAAAAATTAATGAGAAACTACAGTCCATTGAATTTTTGTAGGAATGACAGTTATGTTTAGTAAATAATGGCATAATGGATAGATTTTGTTATAATTTTGGGTACTTTTTCAGTTATGACTTGTTATAGTTCTGTGTGATTGTCAAACATGTTAAGGATTTTGTTTCCTCTATTAATTTCTATTCCTTGACATAAAGATGCAAGAGTATAAAATAGCAATGTTTATGTCTTCTGGGCAGCATCATTGGCAGAAGGCTCAGAAAAAAAACATTTTTTGCATTTGGTTGTCTTTCACAATTTTTAGCTAGTATATGAGAATGTATTTAATCACATATGGTTTCATTGGTGTCAAGCCATGCATTAGTAGAAGCAAGGATGTAATAACTCGAGAGATTAAACTGTAATTTTTGACTCTGCAAGAAGTGGTAGTGTTTTATGTGTATGTTTCACAAGATTTCTGACACAAGTGTTAGGTGTTTGTAAATCCTTACATTCATACATGTGACATTCCCAAGTTTTTTGTTTGTATTAGTTGAAAATCAATAAATGGATCCATTTTAAATGTGGACTTCTCATATTGGGTTCTTAGTCATATGTCTTTAATCTTAATTATAAAATCTAGAACTGTAATATTAAATTGTCAATACTTTTTATATATGAAAAGTATTTTGGGGGTAGAGTTATATGAAAGTATTTTTGATGCCAAATTTTCATTTTGTAATTACTGTTAGCATTCAAAGGTGTGGATAAAGCACTGCACAACAGCATAGCATGGTTTATTCAATATACAGAATTATCTATAAATGTGCATTGAGTTGTCACTAAAACTATTTTCATAAACACCGACATGAAGCTTTGTAATCAAAGAGAACTTTTTCATATTTTAATGATTATTTTAGATGAAAAAACATTGTAAAATAACACTTACTAGGTTGTTAAGAAGTGTTATGGAAACAACCTGTATTTATAAGCTTTAAATGGATTGTAATATATTATTGACAGAGGTTTCAGACTTGCATAAATTTAAAATCATAAAACACAAGATATATAATTTGCTTCTGTTTCAACTTTTTTACTGACAGGGCTTTCTTAGATTTACTTATGCTTACCAGTTTCCTCCTTGAGTTTTATATCGTACTCTGAAAGGAAGATGGTCTTCATGCAGGCTTCCTTTTACATTATATTCTTTTGTAATGATTGCTATTCAATAGTTCTGTTTAAATATGGAGTACAGCAGATTTTAAGGTGATTTGTTAACATCATGGTTTTGTGTTGTCTGTTTAAAGATCACCTTATGTGTATTTTCAGAGTGATGTTACATATTTGTAATTTTCAGTAAAATACACAGTTAACTTTTTTATTTATTAACCACAAGCTTTCAAGATATTTCACAAGCTTGGCTTCAGATGGGAGTTTTTTTTTATATTTCAAATGTACTTTATTCTTCTCATTTAGTGCAATGCCAGTGAGGAATATGTTTATTATAAAACAACTAACTGTTCAGAAACAGCACTTAACAGCAAGTAAATATTGTAAAGTATTCAATATATATGGTATTTGTCTTTTATATCAGATTAGAATGTATGTTCACTGTAAAAAATTACACAACAGTAGAAAGTTTACATCAGGTACTTATCACAGTTTACCTTCCGTTTGGTTTGAAGTAAGATTTTATTACAAAATAAAGATATAAAAAGTGAAAAAATAAGGAGCAAATTTGGAAGCTAAAAAAGACCCTCGAAAAAATTGGAGTAGATTTACAGTATAAACTGACTCAGCAATGTGTCAATTTTTAAATTAATTAACTCATCCCTGAAGATATATAGTTTTGAGGGAATGGTACCAGTATAATTAATCAGTTTACAACTCTAGTCAGTATGTAGCACTAAAGTAAGTTTTTTGTTGTAAGTAGAGAATATTCCTCCTCCCCCCTCTCTCTCTTGGTGTTAAAAAATGCAAATTACTCAAAATATGTAGATGATTACACAGTGTTATGCTTCAAAGTTTAGTAATTATGTCATGTGCCACAGGTCTCAAGTGCTATGTTTTAGTGTGGTATTTTCCTCATGTCGTTACTTTGTGTAGGCACAATAATATAGAAGTACGTCTGATCTCTACATAACATTATCATTATGAAGGGATGATTGTTTTAACAAGTTTAACTGTATAGTTACTGCGAAGTATTTAAAGAGATTGTTTACCTGAATATTTATATTTAAGAGCTGTTATTGCTCAAAATTTCCATTCTGGGCTGTTGTGTTTCTTACTTCAGTTGCAAGTGTAGTGTGTGATATTTTCTGGAAATGAAGTTTAAATTGAGACTGGATGAGAATTATATTTGGTAAATAAATAGATAACTGCTCAATTCATATAGAAACATCGTAATAACCAGTTTTTGTACAGAAATACAATTGTACCGCTGTTAGGTTATAGTGAATTTATAGAAAATATGTTTTGTTTTTTACTTTAACAGCAGTAAAGCTATTTATAAACATTTTACTCTGTGACTGAAGAATTAAACATTTCAGGCATAAAAGAAAATATTAAAAGTTCATTGATAACATAGAAAACAATCTGTTGTTTTTTGCGATTATCTTAATTATCATTTGCACTGAGATATAAGTTTAAAATATTCTAAATAAGTACTTAAAATAAAAAGTACAATAGTGATATGTCCTAGATCGATAGTCGACTTCTAAACTTGTTGAAAAATAATCTGATGATTCGTTGAAATAACACAACTGAATGACATAAATGAATTCATTTGAACGAGAGTTTTAAAAACACGTAAGAATAATTTAAGCGTTTCTTCGTCCAGGTAATCCATTGTGTATTATATTTAGTACTCAGTTTTATTTCCGTTCCGAAAATGCGCGCACACTTCATTTCAAGGGATGTAAATATACTCTAGTAGACATTTTATACAACATTAAAAGTTTATCAAAGTCTTTAAAAACGTCTTCTGTTATGTCGTAGAATAACATTATAAATTTATTTATTGGTAATATTAAGTACGGTAAAGTTTAGCCCTAACAAAAAAAACTAAAGCAAAAAACACACAAGTTACAGTGTTAATTTCTCTTTATCGAATATAGATTTTATTGTTTATTATTACAATTCTTTGTATTATTTTGAAATTGAAAATTCTCATACATCAGCTTAATACTTGGCATTCGTTTGCTTCCTTGTAGTTAACTGGAAATATAATTGATCGTAGTGTAGGCCCATGATTTATGTCAACTATCTCATTGTTGCAATAAAGATACTAATTTGACCGCAAAACATCGGGTCTCTGCTAGTAGTAATGGTTATATATTCGGGTATCCCGTCTTCGTATTTTTAACACAAAAAAACGTTAGTATTCTTGTAAACAAAATTTCACCGAGTCTAAATAGTGACAATGTTGGTAGCTCACCATATACACTAAAACAGTTTTTCACGTCAAGAAAATCTTGTATAAAGACTACTTTTAATTCTGACTTATTTGAATTTCTGACGGTGTTATTTTAAACAGCCCGATGTCCATATTATTTGGTTTCTTTAATTGTTTATGAGTAAGCGTTATCAACGATTTATTTCTTTAAACACTGCATGAAGTTGTGACACCAATTGGGTAAACTTGTAACACTTACAAATTTACAAAATGAAAAGTGTGTTTTGAAAACAAGAAAAGTATTATTAGTTTTTTTTTAAATGAAAGTGATGTGAATTATGAAATTTATCTTAAGCAAGTTGTATGATTAACTACAATATTTTAATGCAAAAGGGGTGTGATATAACGTAGTTTATTCAGCCCCTAGAATAAATTCATGCCATGATTGTTCGAGAACGCATCATGTGGTATAAAATATTTTCAACGTTGCCTTTGGGGCAACGAATCTCATCAATGTTGTCGGTTGTCAAAATCGTTGCCATGCATGTGGACCTCGCAGCAGAACTCTGAAGACGACAATTTTTTGCAGCACAGTAAAAACATGCTGATTCATTTATGCCTAGTTACAGTTTGCTCAAGCTCTTAAATGAATGTGGAAATATGGCAAAATGTTTCAGTTACTTACAGATAGAGCTGCAGAGTCGTTTAGGCAGTAGAACTTTACAAACGACAATATTTTGGATCATAGTGAAAACACGTTGATTCATTTAGGTCTAATCTACAAAGTCGGAAAGTTCGCTAACATTCTAGGCATATTTTATGTTGAAGTTAGACAGGTGCGTACTTTGTACGTTTATTGGTATGAAAATTAAACACTTTCTATTCTTATTAATTTATTATTGACTTTTAAATTGAGATCAAAATCTTCAATAAAATATTAAACTTTAAGATTTACGTGTAGGCTAAATATACTATGTGTCTGAACTAATTAATCAGATTTTAGTAAAACTGAAAACAGTAAAAGATGGGATAGAATAAAACAATTATTGACCGGTGATTTCGAGCAACAGATCATTTGTTGCCCTTATAACCAGTCAGTTATTCATTGTCACATGTTTTCTACTTCATATATGTTGTATTAACCTAAGGTAATATTTTGTATATGGACGGCTTAAATTTTAATTGGTAGGTGCTCAGTCATAAAGTACGAACACTTGTCACAGGTTGTCAGTAGCAACGGAAATCATTGATATTGGTAAATGCATTACTTTCCACAACTAAAAACATTTATGATCTTAGTGTATGAATTATACAATCATTCCTTTTTAGATGTGGGTAAAGATTGAACATTTATTGTGTTGAAATGATATCGGAATATTATATACAAAAATTATCATTATGAAGAAAAAACTCTAAGAGCAAGTTTAACTGTACACTAAACCTACAGTTAAAGGACGTTGTATTGCCCAAAATCAAAAATGGTTATGCTAATTTTCGGTACTACTTGGTTTGAGACTTAATTTTCACAGCTACAGTATACCGAGAAGACTTTGCAAAGATGTTTTTATAAGTAAATCAATTATGCACTTACATTATTAAACTATATATATCGTTCGTTCTGCTTTCACTTGTATGTGTACGAATGTCATCATTATTGTCTTCATTAATTATGACTAAATAAAACCACCGTGAACTTTAAAGATAAAAAAAAAATCAATTTTTAGACTTTATGCCTTCACCAGGGACATATTTTTCCCGAGTTGATTCAAATTCCTTTGCTACTCCAATGCCATTGAGTAAAGGGGATGTCTTGTAAATTCTAAATCCGCGATCTAAAAACATGTTTAAGATCTTAGTGCATGAATACTTTGCGCTAGAAAAGGTTGTTACATACTCTTCTCAAAAACGATAAATACTCAGTGGCATCGCACTACTTACGAAACAGCAGTTTCGAAATATAGTTCTTATACAATCCGTATCACCACAACTTTATATCGCCTTTTGCTCTTGTCACGTGACTTGCTGATACTTATATAATTTTATTATAATGTACTCAACTTTCTGTATGTGCTATATGAAGCACTTATTAAAAATATCACGATGATTCATAGAATAATTTTGAATCAAATTTGAATGTAAAAAAATACGCTTTAAATGTACTACGAACTGAAATGGGAAAATTAATTCACACACATCAAACAAAATCAATCTCAATGTGGATGAGAGTTATCAGGCCACTCATTTGCAATAGCAACTCTGGGTATTTACCTCAAACACATTCTATTAACAAAACTAACATGGTATGCGGCATACTATTGTTACATTGTTGTCGGCATTTAATCTTGTTCTAAGGACACTATATTCCGTGTTACAATGTTAGTATCAACATATTCTACCCGCATATAACTGGTATAGAATATATTTTCACTTACAGAAGATTGCTATATTTGGTTTTAATGTTTAACTTTAGTTTGAATTTGGAAGTCTCTGATATCACATTTTCCATTCTGTAAGTGTAAAATATATCAATATATTCAGGTACTTTTTCTAAGTTGCATGTATGTAGCTATTGACATCCTTGTAAACCAGATGTACGAAGGTCGTAAACGCACACTAATTCTCTTGTTCAAGTATAGGTTACGTAGTATAACAGTTATCCCATAGAAGCATGACCCTAAGTCTGTGCCTACTACCTGGAATACTTGTTCGAATTAGTGCAAATTGGAAGGTTCTCTCCCTCGTGACTGTGTTATTTGGAATAGTTTACAAAGGTAGTCTAAGGATTTGGGGTACCATACTAGGATTCTGGTCGAACTTGAAACTTGGTATTTAATCATTTTTGCTTTCATCTTTGTAAGTAAAAATGACACATGATTATTGGGAATAAAGATTCTATTTGTTTGTTCACATGTGTGTTTGCATTTCCTTGGCTGTTTGTGTTCATTATGATACTCTGCACAACATTTTTGGATCTGTAATTTTGGGGTACCATACTAGGATTCTGGTCGAACTTGAAACTTGGTATTTAATCATTTTTGCTTTCATCTTTGTAAGTAAAAATGACACATGATTATTGGGAATAAAGATTATATTTGTTTGTTCACATGTGTGTTTGCATTTCCTTGGCTGTTTGTGTTCATTATGATACTCTGCACAACATTTTTGGATCTGTAATTTTGCAGATACTTGAACTTATCTGTCAGACATCAGTGTAACCAAATTCACAGGTAAAACTGGGATCAGCAAGCAGGTAAGTACTAGGTATCACAATAATGGAAATGTAAGAAAGATAAGTTCATGAGAGGATAAAATGAACACAACAGAAAAAGACTTAATACTTGTGTAACATAAGAAACTTTATAGCTTACATGATTATAAGTTATTAAAGAGTACTTGGATTTTATTTCAATTTTGTCCAGATTCTAAACTTTAGGGTACCTTCTTTGGCGTCTAGAAGGTGATGTCTGCACACAATGACAACAAAAAGAAGTGCGTCTGTATCACACTCTCAGATCAGAAAAGCGTTCCAGTGTCATATCTACATTATATACGACAGTGATCGTACCCGTTATATGCCTTCTAGAGGAAATTCATTTTCATGTCATACTCTATTTTCACTTAGGGCATGATCTATACCCTACGAAGTAATGACACAGAAGAATGATCTAAGGAATATTAGTTCTATGAAATGGCCACTGTGTTAGTACTCGAATTATAACTAACAAGGAGGGTTCCGTAAATTGTTTGTTTTTGTAATAAAGCCACATTGGGCTATCAGCTGTGTCAACCGCGGGGAATCGAACCCTGTATTTCGGCGTTGTAAGTCCATAGACTTACCGCTGTCCCATTGGGGGACAGTTCCGTAAATATAATGAAAGGATTATACGTTACACTGGTATTTTGTTATATATAAATATAGCGGGAATTTTAATTACCTCATTGATCAGTCATTAATTAGTTTAAGATTTGAATAAAAAACAGAAATTAAATAACAACTTTACCAATGACTAATATAGATAATATTTGACACGGGGAGAATCAATATGACTGAAGTTTTGAATACATGCCTCCATTGAGATTCCACGCTTGTGCAATATTTTATGAACAAAGGGGAAGGGT